GCATTGAAATGTGAGAACGATACTTATTTTGAAATTTCTCCATTTTACTAAAACGACATTTATTTTGGAATGGAGGGAGTACATTATCTAATTAATTCGTTTGAAAGATACAACTTTCAACATTAACAAACCCGCGCAAAGCGCGGGACACATACTAGTAATTAATAAAGAAGGAAAATTTTTTGAATAATTTATATTAAGGGCAAAACAATTCAACCATACAAACCTGACTTTTAGTTTTAATTATCAATGAAAACCTATTTACATCAATTCAAATACTTTGAAAATTCATTTAATTTATTTTTTTGGTTAGTTTGATTAATATATAAAAATACTAAAGTGGTCAATGACTAAAAATACTCATAGATACAAAAGTTTTGATATTATCAAATTTAAAATTTTTCACTTATATGAAATATAGGAGTAATTTAGTTATTCTAGTAAAATATGCTGTATGGCTCGTTTAAAGTACAAGTTCTGGGGGGGGGGGGGAATTGACTAATATGAAAGTTCAAAAAAAAAAAAACACTATACAAAAAAAAATCTCCTAAACAATTAAGAATGATTAACCTTTATTTTTAAAGTCAAGATATTTACATTTTTCATCATTTAATTCATTACTTTTTCCATTTTATAGTAATTATTATCATCATTAAAAGATTCAATTTATGTATTGAAAAATCAAATGAAAGAACAAGATGTTTTTATTTAAAGAGTTAGAGTAATGTTTGTGTTGTTTAATTGTAATGTCCCTAATACAAATTATTTAAGAGTACTGTCCTCTTTATTAAGTATTTACTCTCGACTGTCCCTAATTCAAATTTTTCCAAAAAAAAAAGGAAAAATAAAGAAAAATAAAGAAAAGTAATCTTCTACTCCCTCCATTCACAAATAGATGTCGCTGAAGAGATTTCACAAAGTTTAAGGAAGCAATAATTATCTTGTTAAAATATTATAATACCCTCATTTATTCTTAATTCAATTGTAGTCCCAATAAAATTCACTTCTAATACAATTCTACATTAAACATCACAACAATTTCCAATGTAAGGGTGATATTGGAAAAAATTGACAAAATATGCCTCGATTTGTGAGAACGACATCTATTTTGGAATATTTGAGTTTTCCTCCAACGACATCTATTTGTGAATGGAGGGAGTACCATGCTAACACTACATCATGGTAATAGACCTTCCATGTTCAAGATATGCTTTTGCGACCAAAATCAAAGATCTTTCCTGCCCTTTTGAAAAAAAAAAAAAAAAAACTTTCCCCAGTTACAGAAGTTGTACTTTTGTGTTCCAAAAGATTGCTTGAGTTCCTTGCTATGTTTAAAGTGAACTCAAATTCTTATCTCCTTGTTGCTCCATGAGTTGTGCTGCCTTTGCGTCAAGTAGTTGCCTTGCCATTCTTTTAGGTGTCCATGCCCTTTGTTCTTCGAGGTCCGATTTACGAGAAATACTAGAATTAGAATATCTATCTATCCGTATCAATTGATTGGGTATCGGGTATGACATTCTATATCAATATAATTTCTAACACCATTTGGGTATTAGTTTCATACATTCTAATATAATTTTCAGTTGCTAGTGCTGATAATTCAAAGAACAAAGGAAAATTTGTCAAGATTTTATTTCACAGATCAGCCTATCATGTGCTTTTTTTATTTTTTTAAAAATAATTTTTATCATGATGTGCAACACTAATTTTTTGGAAAATTTTTTACTGAAGTTGATATCTTTTTTTATTTTATTATTATTTTTTACATACGGGAAACAAAACTTAATTTACAAAAGTCAACTCGTCAAGGTTGAGTTGAGCTAGGCCAGTTTATTGTCATTTTTTCTAAGATTTGTGTCAGTTTACAAATTAACACCTAATTTGGCTAGCGAATCAGCTGATTTGTAGCCATGACGTTTTATCAAAGTAATATCTACTTTTTATTGTTGGTCCAAAAGTTTGGTGATTATGCGTGGTATGTCACTGTTGACCGAGGCTTGGGCTTCACCATTAATTAAGTTCACCGCTTGCAGGCTGTCAATTTGAAGTTGGGCCCTTCTAAAACCCATACTTCATGCAATTTGCAGCCCAAGAAAAGCAGCCCAATATTCAGCTTCTAGAATGGAGCAATTTCTCATTTTTGTAGTGAATCCCGTAACCCATTTTCCTTCAAGTAGTTGCCTTGTCGTTCTTTTAGGTGTCCACGGCCTTTGTTCTTCGATGTCCGATTTGCAAGAAATATTATGAATAGAATATATAGAGCATCCAGATCTCTGTAACTAGGGAGCTTCGGGTTTAGAGCACACGCGCCTACAATAGCCAACTTGTACACATTTTCTTGCAAATTACAGAAATGTCACCGCTTTAGTTGGGAAAATATAAATAGTCACAATTTTTTAAAAAAGTAAAAAAAAAATTCATAGAAATAAAAAACGAACTCCGTCCATTTCTCCCAAAACCCTCTGGCGATATCTCACTCCAGATCTCCGGCGTAACTTCCTCCGGCAAGTTTCCTCCCAAATCCTTGAGTTTCCATCCCCTAAATTTGCTAGAAACGTCCAATGTTTGCAGGATCGTGATTCTACCCAGGATCGAAATGGGTTCATAGGATCGGATCGTAAATAGGATCGGTAGGATCGAAAAAGTAGGATCGTAAATTTTTTAAAAAATTTATACATTATAAACAATTACTAACAATAATTTTTAAATTTTTTTAAAGATGTATTATGCATTCATTCTAATTTCTAACTAAAATACGAGCGATAATTGTAATTTTGTATTTAATCAATAATATGACAGACAATAGAATAAGTAATATTCCAGTTACAAATTACTAGTACTTTAATAAGTTGTGTATGATTATTTTAGAGTGATTGAAAATTATGATTAAGATTAAGAAGAGAAAAATGTCGTTGACCAAATACAAAACATAAACTAAAGAAAGGCTTATGTCATTAATTGAGTCATTGACCAACTGATCATTCTTTTTCTCCCTCAAGGTCACGAGTCTGTTAGCAGAAGAGTTCCGGCGAGAGAACAAAACAGAGCATATAAACTACGAGATCCCTTTCTCAATTCTGATGGAGTAGTCCTCCTAAACAACTCTAAAGAACTCAATTTCTTCAACTTTATCACTCTTTTCATCTTCTTTTTAAAGCTTTTTTTTTTTTATGAATTGGAGTAAACCAAGCCCAATAAATTTTTTGGAGGCTGAATCAGTGGACTCGAACGATCCTACGCGATTCTACGATCCTGTACGATCCCGTACGATCCTGCTCCGATCCTACCGCAAAAGACGAGTTTAATTGATCCAGTATCGATTTAGTGACCTAGGATCGTAGAATCGTACGATTCTACAATCCTAGATTGTGAGTTTGCAAACACTGGAAACGTCTCTCCGGTCATTTAAAAGCGCTCTTCACACCTTCGTCCGGTGAATTTTGTCCGAAAATTTCAAAAACTCCGTTCGGCGAATCTTCTGACGGTGAAAAATACAAAATCAAGCACGCGATTATCAGAGTTAGGATCCTCTTTTTCAAAATGAACATTACTTTTTTTGAGATTTGGATTTTTTTTTTTTCAATAACTAGATTTTTGAATTGTGAATTTTGTCATTCGAGCTTTTTTGATGTTCATCCACCGATTCTTACAACAAAATGGTGAGAACAAGAACAGCAAAAAAAGCTACGCCAGAGACTACACCAGAGCCTAACACAGCGTCACCATCAGGCTCAAGCGTAGAAGACAGGTATTGCTCATCCTGAGTAAATTCTTCTGAGATTCAAATGTTTATTTCATAGATCTAGTAGCGTGAATAATTCTTGAGACTCAGTTGTGATTGTTTCATTTGTCCAGTTAAACGTTGTTGTATTGTTTGTATGGTTGTTCATTCTGTATGCTTCGATACTCATCCTGTATGCTTTTATACTTATTCTGTATGATTCGATACTCATCTTGACAGAGAATATTAGGTTGTTCATCCTGTATGCTTCGATACTCATCTTGTATGCTTTGATGCTCATCCTGTATGATTCAATGCTCGTCTTGACAGAGAATGTTAGGTTGTTCATCCTGCATGCTTTGATGCTCCTCCTGTATGATTGATGCTCATCTTGACAGAGAATGTTAGATTGCTCATCTTGTACACTTTTGATGCTCATCTTGTATGCTTATGTTGATTTTGTTTGATGTTCATTTCTGGATATATGTTCACTGCTTATCGCTACATGTTCATCCTGTATCCTGTCTTACTTATTTGCTATTCACTAAATGTTTTTATGTAACAGAGATCAATATAAGTGTGAGGAGAGGAAATAAAGACAAGAGTCTCTCTTCCACACAACCCATTGAAGGGCACAATACTTCACCGTCTCAACAAGAGAATGCAGAAACACAAAAAAAAGGCCAAATCATCTACATCTGCTGCCAAAGAGAGAAAAAGGAAGAGGAAAGATGGCGGTGATGATCTTGCAGGACAATAAAAGGCAAAGAAGCGAACAACAGATTTATCATCTAAAAAAGCCATTGAAGAGAAAGAAACCAGAAATAGCACAGAGGAAGAGTCTGAATCGTCTACACCAGTCATCACAGAACAAAGGACGAAGTTTAAACATGATGCTGGCAATCTGGTGGCAGAAAAAGAAGAAGAGAAAAAGGCAGCTTCAGAAAAGAAAGCACCCTCTGCTCGAAGAAAGACGAAGAGAAAAAATGGTGATGATGGTTCTGTGCCAAAAAACAGAAGCAAAGAAGGAGAAAGCTGCAAAAAAGAAACAACCCAAAAAATAGATTTTAAAGTTTCTATCCAGAGTGTCGTGGCCGGAGCTTTTAAAATTTTTAATGCGCTTGATGATGGTCAAATAAAGCTGGCTCAGGAAACATGTTTCGGGCACCTTTTGAGCCTGGGAATCAGTAAATTTTCACATCCGGATTTGTTCCTTTACTTGTTAAGCAATTTCATGTTCAGCTACATGACGTTGCTGATTCATGGCGGAAGAAGAGAAATGAAGATCACGGAAGAAGATGTGGAAGCTGTGCTTGGACTACCACGTGGTCCAAAGACAGTAGTTGAAGCCTATGATTCCAGGACAAGTCCGAAGATCAAGAGGAGTACAAGAATCTTGTCCGGTAGGTGAGGGAGACATTCGGAATGAAAGACCCAAATGCGGGATCGCCCACAGCAACCAAAATTGGAGCCTACCTTGTATCGGATGATCATGATTGCCCAGACCTGAAAAGACTTCCTGAAGATCAAAGAAACCGAGTGTATGGAGAAGAATTCAAAAGGTATGCTTCAATGTTTTCAAAAGGTTCCTGTATTGTTTTTGTGGTTGTTCATCCTGTATGCTTCGATGCTCATCCTTTATGCTTCATTGCTCATCATGTGGGCTACTTTTCTGTAGGTACTTTGTGTTGTTTTTCATGGCTAGCATGCTCCTCAGAACAAAGAATGCGTGTTGCCGCCACCAAGTAATGAAATCATTGATGAACGTCGATGACATCAAAATTTACAATTGGTGCAAGTATGTAGCAAAGGAACTCTACGACGCGGTCGAACAGTGGCAGAAAAATCCTCAGGGTGCTTTCAATGGGCCAGTGATCTTTCTCATAGTATATTTCACTTACTTTTCTTCATTTTTTTCCCTTCGTTATTAATTTTGTATGTGAAATTACTGAATATTATGTTGGTACCAAAAAACATTGCAGTTGTGCTATTTGGATAGAGTTGAGTACAAAGATGGGGATGGAATCCCCCGGCAGTTTCCTGTGATTGCTCGGTGGGACAATGACCGAGTAACAAAAAGGCTGGCTTTGGAACGTAAGGGTGCAGGGTTTGGAAGTGGCAAACCTCTGGATAGGATTGCAGTATCAAAACGAATGGATGAGGATGAGCCCATACAGGACGAGGAGATGAGGAAAGTTGATGATCCGTAGGCACAACCTAAAATCAATAAGATACATCAACAAAAGATAAGGTACATCCTATGAGATTTAGTTGTTCATTTAAAGTTTGTTGTATTGCTGTGTGGTTGCTCAACTCGTATGCTTCGACGCTCATCCTGTATGTTTCGATCCTCATCTTGATAGAGAATATTTGGTTGTTCATCCTGTATGTTTTGATGCTTATCCTGTATGCTGATGTTGATTTTGTCTGTATCCTGTACTATTCTGGAATTGATCATTGACTTGGGCCCTTTATCCTTGACCTGGGCCAGTTGTTTGAAGAAGCTAGTGAAACTGGTATAGATGGACACATCATGTTCTATAAATTCTTCAACGACTATGCCGAAGTCTTGAAGAGAATGGGTGAAGATCAAGAAGTCAACTCAGTTCCTGCTGACCAAAATCAGAAGCAAAAAGTAGATGGCTCTCAAATACCCAAGTGTGATAAGCCACCGGACCCAAAAGTATGGGGTTTTGACACTGTAACACATATGGAGAAATGGTGGAATTCTCCGAAAATGTTGGAGTGCATTAGGATGCTTGACCAGGTTATACAGTAGGCCAAGTGTAATGTCCCAAAACTTCCTGATGGACCAAGTTTTGGCCTAGGCATTTCTGAAAGTTTTCCGCAAGAACCTGTCAATGTTCCCGAAGAAAAAGACGACTCCACTGCTGAGAGTCTTCATCATGATAACTCATTCCCTAGCCGAGAACATGCAGCTGTTGAAATTGCCATTAAATTCCAGAGTGACGAACATCCAACGACTCTATCAATCACTAGGCCGCCAAGTCTACAAACTCTTGAGAGAAAACAAGATTCTGTACGGAAGAACATTTATAAGTATGCATTTAGAAATATAAAATTCAACTCATAAACTCTGATGCTCATCCTGTTAAAGTATGATGTTTAACTGACTTTCTTTAACTACAGTAAATCTGACCATGTGAAATTTCTTTTGTGTTCAAGTGTTTTCACCAGTGTAGAGATCCAGAGCAAAAACCAGGATGAGGAACCTTTTCAGTACAGGTTGCCGTTCTAGAAGAAGGTAGGAAAGAAATTAACACAGATTACACCGATCCAGAAAATTCTTAGGCTTTGTTTGTTTCCTTTTTTTGTTGGTTTTTTCAGAATTTAATATTAATAACTGTCCCATCCCAGTATACCTTTTTACATTCCCAATACACCTTTTTACATTACCAATACAAAAAACACCTAAAAACACACACTAAAAAAAAGGAAACAAACAGACCTTTAACGACTTCGTTTTTTCAGAACCAGATGGTGAAGGGCTTGACTTCAACTGGTAAGCAGGATAGGACAATGTGCATCTTATTAAAATACAATGTACGTCCTGAAAAAGTATAATGTTCATCCTATTAAACTAAACTCTGGTGCAGGGAAACCCTGTATATGAGGTACGAAGCCAAACCGATGGGAAAAGAACCTATGATGTACATTTTTCTGGACAGGTACAGTTTGAAGTTGTTCCGTATTGATGAACAGCTGTACAACAATGTTATTGATATTTGGTCGCTGCTGAGTTGCACAAGTCGAAGAACTCCCAGCCGAGGAAGTATTTTTTCACCTCTTCGGTGTTTGTAAGACTCTTTTACTCATCACTTATTTTTAGTTTAATATGCATATCATATGTTAAGAATTTAACGTCATTAACATTTTGTTAAACTCTTATACGAAACTGACAAAAAGACGGATCAACCAACAGAAGAAGCCATCCAAGCAGGATATGAGAGAATAGCAAATGACCTTGCATCCCAGAATGTGTCGGCTAAAAGCCTTATGTATAGAATCTGGTAAGTTTCTCAATGCCCTTTGTCCTTCTTTGTAAAAAAAAAACATCCTTTTATGTTCGGCCTGTTAAATTACAATGCTCATCCTGTTAAAAAACTATGCTCACTGTGTGAAAATACTGTATTTGCAGTTATTCTTTCCAGTCCACTGTGAAGTTCACTTCTATATGGTTGTTTCAACATGGACGATCGTACTCTGTATATTCTAGACAACAAGCCAAATGTAGCCAAAGGTGAAATACTATTTGATAACAAGTACGGTGGAGTTGTCACGTTCATCAAATCTGCTTTCTTGGGGTACCTCAAAAAGCAAGGTACGAAACTGCCACTTGATATTACAACATTCAAGCACAATGTTCCTGTACTTCCGTGGGTTGATCAGACCAACAACAAGAACTGTGCTATATATACCATGTGCCACATGGAAACATTCGACGGCTCACTAAAAGATTACAAATGTGGCATTCCGGCATATGGCACAACACCGGTAAAACTATATCATTTTAATCCTTTCCTATCGTTTTCAGAGTTTACCTAATCTCACTTGATGTTTGTTTTGTTTTCTTTTCGACGCTTTTAAACAGAGGACAAAAGCAAACCTGCAAAATAGCTTTAACACATTGCGGATGAGATATCTAGCTGAGATCTTGCAATCAAGAACCAACAAGTTGTATATGATAGAGCTTCAGAGATTTTATCCAGAAAATTTATACGGTTAAAAGTCTTATGTATATTCAGCTAGTGTGCACTGTTAGTAGACTTCAATTTTTAACTTATCATCCCAAAATTTTGTAGGAACCATGTGAATCGTGCTGAGATCTCTAAAATGTCTCTTGAAAGTATAAAATTCATTGAACTTTTCTGTTGTTCATTGCACCAATTGAAATGTGTAAAACTTTTCAAGTGTTATCTTAGAGTCATGGTCCTTATTTGTCAAAAGTCCTGTAAGCTCATCTGGTTAAACTACAATGTTCATCTTGTAAAACACAGTGTTCATCTGGTTAAACTAGGCCCAAACCTATAATTGAAATGCTTAAACCCCCCTAAACCCTAAACTGACACGGTGTTGAATTTTATATGTATGTATATATATATATATATTTGTTGAAATTTTTTTAAACCGATTAGGCTAGGGTCTCGTAAAATGAGACCCTAATCTAATCGGTTTAAAAAAGTTTAAAAGGTTAATCGTTTCCCGGCATAAACTAGACCCAAACCTATAATCGAAATGTTTAAACCCCCCTAAACTCTAAACCTAAACCGACACGGTAGTGAATTTTTTAAAATATTTTTATTTTGGGATGAAATTTTTTTAAACCGATTAGGCGAGACCCTAGCCTAGTTGGCTTAAAAAATTTAAAAGATTAATCGTTTCCCAGTACAAAATAGACCCTAACCTATAATCAAAATGCTTAAGACCCCCTAAATCTTAAACCCTCAAACCTAAACACTAAACCCTAAACAAGCACGATGTTGAATTTTTTAAAATATATTTTCTTTCTGGTTGAAATTTTTTTAAAACCGATTAGGTTAGGGTCTCATTCCTAATCGGTTTTAAAAAAATTTAAAAGGTTAATCGTTTCTCGGCACAAACTATACACTAACCTATAATCAAAATTCTTAAATCCCCTAAACCCTAAACCCTAAACCGGCACGGTGTTGAATTTTTTAAAATATTTTATTTTGGTTGAAATTTTTTTAAACCGATTAGGCGCCTAATCGGTTTAAAAAAGTTTAAAAAGTTAATCATTTTCTGGCGCAAACTAGTCCCTAACCTATTCTCAAAATGCTTGAACCCTCTAAACCCTAAACCCTAAGTCGACAGGCAGATGAATTTTAATTTATTTTTTTTGTTTTGGTTGAATTTTTTAAAACCGATTTGAAAAGGGTCACGAGACACTAGCCTAATCGACATGAGACCCTAGCCTAATCGGTTTAAAAAAATTGAAAATGTTAATTGTTTCCCGGCGCAAACTAGTCCCTAACCTATAATCGAAATTCTTAAACCCCCCCCCTCGAAACCCTAAACCCTAAACCGGCATGGAGATGAATTTTTAATTTTTTTTTATTTTGGTTTAATTTTGTAAGTTAATTGATTTGTACCTACTATCATCTTGATAACAATTAAAACGTACAACAAAATTTTGCACAATGTGGTATCAAAATAGAGATTCAATAAATATCTTCTGTTGTGCACTGAACAATGTATAATACGTATCTTATAAAACTGTAATGTTCATCCTCAATTCAAACGTCTATCATTGGGCAATCTCATCTTTCTAACTGCAATGTTCACTTCCATGAAGGGAATGCTCATCCTGCGAAGGTGTAAAATTCATCCTATGCCTGAAGTTCACTGCAAAACGGCAAGTTCAACTGTGGAAACTTGATGTGCTTCCTGTACTATTTGGTGCTTATCCTTTAAAACTATGATGTGCATCTTGGCCTACAATTTCTGTTAGTCACAGCAAAAAGGAAAAAACAACATATAATAACAGAATAACTATTGTTTACAAACCAACGACAAATGTTCATAAAACAAATTGTTCAATAACAAAAAAAAGAAATAACATCAATAATAAAATATTGTTTACAAACCAAAAATTTTAAAAATGATCATGAATATGTCTAATACCATGAAAAAAAAAACATTCAAGGGTTCTGGGGATGCAGGTTCTGGGGAGGCAAGGGTGAAGCAGCATCTTGCGCGGGACCAACAACGTCTTGGACAGCATGCATGCGAAGCAATTCTTAGCACGCATTTCCTTGGTTAGCAATATCAATAGCCAGGAAATTAAGGTCGCGTACCAGGAGCCTTCTTTCATCCCTACGCAATTGACGTAGATAAGCCCGCCTTGCCGGATCTTATACAAAGATTAGCAACTTAAATATAAGTAGTTCAAAACTCCTTCGCCACTACTTGAATATAAACATGTTGAGCATAGTAATATAGAACAAACACAAACTATACTAACCCTGTTTGGGAATAGCTCATTCAGTCTCATCTTTCTCATCCTTATGTCGCTTGAATCTCTCAGAAACTGCTGTGTTCTTTCCATCATTAGCCTCAACAGATCTATCCTTGCTTGCAGTCGTGCTACATGAAAACACAAACATTAGAAATCAATCACGTTCAAGTTGAAAAAAGATAGAATACAAAGAAGCAAAAGGGCATACCATTGTTCCTTTCAAGCCTTCTTTGATATCTGGTGGAAGAAGACATGTTTTCTTTTGTTGAATTGAAAGGTAGAAAAGATAGAAATTGCAAGTGTAGTAGAAATGGTAGGATGATCTCGTTTTTCATAGATGAATTTTGTGAATGAACCTATTGATTTTCTCCTTGCCCCTGACTATTCCACTTATGTGGATAATGAATGTACATTAGGAAATTCTGATAGCTGTTTATTTAAAAGGCACATAAATACTTGGAATTCAGATTGGTTCATGTTCATTGTAAATGTGTCTTTTCATTTAATAACTTCCAGGAGAAGTTTAAGGGGCAGTTATTAATTGCCAGAAGCAGTTACAATTAAATAAAACTGTCAGAAACCGTCATTATTTATTTCCAGCCTAACATTGTTCATCCTGAAATAAAAAATAAAATGTTCATTTCCAGACGCATATTGTTCATTTCCAAGCCACCATTGTTCATCCTGCAAAAGTGCATGTTTGCTCACAGTAACTCCATAAATGTACCCACCTCGCCTTGGGTGCAGCTTGAAACTGAAACTTGCAAGGGTTGATCAGGACAGACCGGATGCACATAACGGCCAACAACTTCTGGTTCACTAGATGCCACCCTACTATAAATAGCTTTCTTTGTCCTCACAGTTGCTGCTCTCTTCCTCTTTCCCTAGGCTTGATTGCTTTTCTTCTTCACAGTACTTACCTACCTTAGATTACGCTCACCAATTGGCCTCAGTTGCTCAGGATCTTTAACAACCACATTTGATGCTGAAGCCTCTTCTTTTTCCTTTGCCTCTTTAGACTGTATAGCCCCAACTTCAGCCTCGAACACTCTTGCCATCGCACTCAGACCTTCCTTGATAAGCTATTTAGCTACTGGAGACGACTCACTTGCCGAAACCAGTCTAATAAACTTGCCAATAACATCTGACCTCCAAATTGTAGAACCTACAACCCCAGACCCTCCATTACTAACTGAAGCAACAACACTACATTGCTTGTTAGCGTTCCTTCTCCACCGACCCAAAATATAACATTTTGGAAC